GTACCTAGCTAGCTATCTATCTGCTACATTCATGAACTTTTACCCTTAAAGGTTTTTTCGCTTAGTATAAGGATAGGATCCATCCCTATATATGGTTATGTACACTCTCACTATAAGGGTTTAGATATGGAGTCTGAAATACGCTCAAACTATATTTTGTCTTCAATCCCACCCTAGCTAGCCATCAACCCTACTTCTGACAACATAATTCTTACTTTTGTTGTCTGTTTTTGACCATAATCCAAAATATATGAACAACTGATTGTAATGATCGTAGAGAGAGACAATTCACACCTCAGCAGTGGAAACATATACTAAACTTGCAATTGCTAGCAGTCCCACTGCAGCTGCAACTGTTCCTTTATCAGCCATCTGGGAGAAGGTGAAGTTCAACAAAACTTCTCTCTTCTAAAAAAAATAAGGAAATTAACCTTCTCCGATAAAAGTTAAAACAAGATTAGAAAGTTGTTTTGTGAAGTTCAGTAAGCCTAAAAAACACTTATTAATATGGTATGAGAGTTATTATTAGAACCTATTCCAACGAGATCTATGTGAGTATTCTGTTTTACCCATTGTCTGGTAGGTATCAAAGTAATAAGCACAAACGCACACAACATTGTCGGACCACTATTGGATCATCCATTAATTCTACTCTCACGTTCGAGATGTTTATAACTCGACATAAAGAGGATGTGTTGGAAATTCTGACTAGAGATAAGCTCAAATTATAATATATAAATGGTATGCAAACCTCATTTTACAAACCAGTTTGTAGAATTGAATTAGGCTCAAAAACCACTTTCTAATAAACAATTTAGTTTCTTTAATAAGTTAATCTTAACTTGGTATTTTTAGATGATACGAAAAGTTTGTTTTATTCTTTTTTTTTTCTCATAAATATTTATAGAGGCCTTTATCTAAACTTAAAAGATAAAAGCAGACGCCATTGTTCACAAAACATGCTATGCACAAACATGTATCAGAACATACTACGTACATATGCAGTAATAATACGACGATGGTGACAAGATGCCACGAGTCTCACAAGAGTTTATACTTTTCAGAGCATTTCCTCGATCGACCCAAGTTCAGTGCACAGGAAAATTTCTTAACTGAAGTAGCGTTTTGGACAAACACATTCAAAAAGCAATTAATTCCTTACCGATGCTTACATAACTCTTTTTCTTTAGGGATAGGATTCAAAAGTAGTCACCAAGAGAGAATATAGCACATTTTAGATTCAAATTATTATTCCAAATCCAAAAGTTGGTGATTTTCCCAGTGAATCGATATCATTTTAAAGCAGCTTTAAATTTAAAGGTGGAGCCATGCTGTTCCAAATAATTCCAGCTACTAATACCTTAATTAAAAGGGCAGTTCTCATCTAAATTCAGGCAAGTTTTTCTGCATAATGTTCAACAACTCTCACATTTCGATTTTAGAGTGTTCCTATGATCGTCCCACGACTTTAATGATGCTCCCGAACATAAATACAGTGAAGAAGGAAGCCCATGTAGGTTGAAAACTTAACGGGAGAAAAAAAAACGTGAATGGATAAAGAGAGGCAATATCACATGAAGGTTTTTGGAGCAATCACTAAGAACAAAGACACAAAAGACTGAGACAATATTACAATATAGAATTTTGGAGTGAGGAAGTGAGGGAGTATTGATAAGATTATGGAGTACAGACAAACGTGAGGGTGAAGAGAGAGACCGTGAGATCTCAAGCAGTGTCTATATTATCTATAGATGATGCATTTTATTCACAAACCATATGGGTTTGTTCCTGTTTCTTGCAGACACTAAACTAACTCATGTCATTTTATTCTGATATATTTTGTGTGCAACAATGTAGTATATGTATCTGTGTTCCCTTCCTAATAAAGATTTATACCACACTCTCTTTCTCTCTCTTTAATACACACATTTCAACAACAAATTTATTTCATGGTTATCTTGTATCTTCTTTATTAGCAAGTGGCAATACAACATGTCCTGAATGGATTAAATAAACCAGCAAGTAGCAGACACCTACTTCTTTTTCCCATATTCTAATGTTCCAAATGGGAAAAAGGAGATGGAACGCCATCAAGATTCATATATTCAACTACCATAATCAAACACGAGTGTTACTCTCTTAAAATCATTCTTAACTCAAAAATTACAGTGAAAACATTTATTCACACTTTTCTTTTAATTCTCTAACTTCCTCTTTTCGAATTATTATTCGTCTTCAAACTCTCAGTAAAACGGGTGGTACCTGTCAAGAGCATTCTGACCCTCAAGTAAGTTATATATTTGATCAGTTATCACAAAATTTTAAATTTACAACAAATACAATCACCTATCTTTTTACTTTACTTCTGTATTTATAGGTTTTGAAAGGTTTTGAAGTGGGTTTTTAATTAGAGTTTGCCTAATCACAACCCAAAAAATTCAAAAATTGATAAATATATTTTATTTGTAAATATTTTCGATTTGCAATGTTAATACCTAAAGAAAGCATCACCTATCGACTTATTGAAAAATCATTCAATTCGCAGTATTCTAGAATTGAAAATGACCTTTTAATATTCTTCGAAAAACTTTGACTGTTCGATCAATGATAGATCGGTCGGTTTTACGATATAGTTATAATACTAAAATTATTCAAGTAATTAAAAACAGTTTAAATTACTTTAATAATCTGGTTAAGTGAACTGGAATTATGATACAGTTTCGTTTATCTAAATAAATATTTAATTTGATTATTTCCAACTTTTTGCATAGCCAATGACTATAATAATTTAAATTCATACATTTGTGGATGGTTAGTGGAATTATAAAAGGAAGAAAAGGTATATATATAAAGTGGAATTGTAAATAAGTGTAGATTTGAGTTGAGAATAAAGGGTAATCGGGAAGAATGGGAATGAACAAGTCGTTGGTTTGAATGAGTATATATATATGCTATGCTGAACTGGAATAAACAAAGTCAACATGCATAAAATTATTCATCTGTATGCCACTCCCGTAGGTGGAAATACATCGGATATTGTCGTCAATGTCCATTTTCAATATATGAGTGAGTTGATTTATAGAAGACATTTCATTTAGCTTCTTTACATAATTAATTCTAACTTATCCATAAATTAATTTAATTTATGTTTTTCTTTTTTAAATTTGTAACTAATATTTAAAAAAAAAATCTTCTGCAAGAAGAAATTTAGACTCAATATCTTTTATTTCAATGGATCTGATCTATCTAATTGTAAGAATTATATAAAAACAAACACATTAATTGCGGCTGTTTTATTTTAACAACTATCTGCAGGAAATTGAAGTAATGGCATAAGAAGTAACTAACCTTTATATTTCATCTTAAGAAAAGTAAAGTGAAGTCGCAGTGAATGCTTGCTAAAAGAAGAAATGCGACAGCTAGTTATTAAATCTTAAATCTTTCTCTACAATTAATAATTAAGGTTTTAATTTTCTCTCTAATTATTTTAGCGATTGATTCTTTGTACTCAGAGATCATTAACTCAATTTCTAGAAGAGGATTTTTTTAGTAATTTGACAACAAAAAGATCGCAGTTGTCGTGATGGTTTAAATTTACACGCTTTAAATTTAAAAGACCAAGATTACAAAATTATAATATCCGACACTCCAATATTTAAAGTTGGGCCAAAATCTTAAACTGTAAAAGGTGTTTATTTAATAAATTTTGATATAAAATATAAAGTTTTCTTCCTGCACCCCCATGTTTTCTTTCTGTACCCCAACTTTTGCTATAGTTCCCATTTTATCTCTATAAAATATATATTAAATAAGTTAAGGACTCCATTAGATTATAAAATTCGGTTAATGAAAATTTATATAATTAAATTTTAAATTTTGATAAAATAAAATCACATTTAATTAGATTTCGGAATCTAGTTAAAATACAATGAAACTTAACCAGATTTTAAAATTAAATAAACAACAAAAATCATAAGTAACTAAATTTTAAAATTTGATGAAAAAAAATTGACACTTAACTGAATTTCAAAAAGCAATAAATAAAAAATTCACACATAACTTAATTCTGAAATCCAATAAAAAAAATCCACACATAATAAAATAAAATTCACGTAAGCAAGTTTCGAAATCCATATAAGTTTCTTGGGTTTGGATTTGTAAAACCGGATTTTGTAAACCAGATTCTTCTTCATTTTTTTCATGTGGCATGTTTCCTTTATTTCCTTCACCACACACATCCACCCTTACATTCGTGTTGGCCATTATTCAACTTCACTCATCACAACAGGACCATTGTTTATTATTGTTGTAGGTTTTATATCGACTAGAGATAAGATCAATTCATAATTTATAACTAGATATAAACTTTATTTTACAAACCGATTTTGTGAAGATCGAATTAAACTTAAAGTCACTTCTAATAATCATTCCCGTCTTCATTTCTTGGTTTAATTGGCGTTATGAAATGAAAAAGTGTGTGGGCTGAATGTATGAATGGCAATATCATATTAATATGTGTAATGTTTTAAGCAAAAAGGAGAGACTATGAACATGGGAAAAAGAGAAGGCTGATGGTAGTCCATGTTCATAAAAAAACAAAACTGTAAATAAACATTTGGAACCATGTCTCAAAATATCTCATTCTTAACACCTCGGTGAAGTGGGTTACAGAACGAGTACTTGGTAAGAAAAATAAGTTTTTATCCGTTTATAGAAGATAACGATGAAGAAGAGGAAGTTTATTATGAGAAAGATAAAAAAGACGAAGATGACAAAAGATATGAAATCCAGAACCAGATTCATCAGAAACCGATTCCCATGATTTGGTCGTACCATGTTGTTCTTCATTCAGTGGTTCTAAAGCAGAAACTTTTGGCAACTGAGATTCGGCTGTGAGTGACCTACAACAACCCACTAATCTTCAACCTCAAGCCATTTTATTTATACGCAGGACCACACCACTTTTATGCTCAACCTTCTTTCTTCCTTCTCCATTTCTTATGGCCTCAACCACTTTCTCCAAACAAAAGCTTTCTGATTCCTTTTGGACCCCAAAACAGAACAAGGTCTTCGAAAAGGCACTTGCAGAGTATGACAAGGATACCCCTGACCGCTGGCACAATGTAGCCAAAGCAGTCGGTGGTAAAACCGTTGAAGATGTTAAGAGACACTATCAGATACTCTTGGACGATCTCAGACACATAGAGTCTGGCCATGTTCCACTTCCCAATTACAAATCCACACCATCTTCCTCTTTCACTAATTCACGTATAACATTTTCTTTTCATCTTTCATTTTCGCTTTTTTTATCCAAGTAATTACTTGTTCTTCATTTTGTTTCATTTGCTTGCTCCAGGCTTTTGAACCACTCTCTTCAAGCTCAAACTGATTTCAAGCAATGGCTATGTGTACTGTGAAACGAACCTGTATATCTTTCTACTTCTTTCCCTGCAGTTGTAATTGACGCCATTTTAGAAACAGTGTCAGCTCCTTCACCGAGCTCCACCTCTAACCACTTCCTTCACCAAAACTCATGCATGTATCTTTCTTAAATATGAAATTAGGTTATGTTATTACATTCTCAATTATAGCCCTCTTCTTCTTTCTATAAATATTTTTTTTTATTAAATTATACAAAACTTAAAATAATGTTTAAAATATTTAAATATTTTCTTTCTAATTAACTTGTATATAAAGCAATTTTAACTTCTTACTTTTATTCCTGTAAATATTTATTAAAAAGTTTATATATGTGGGTTATCACTAAGATTATACCGTTATTTACTAATCATATTTATATGGTATTAATTTATCTATAAAATGTCAAACCTAAATTATAGATGTCGTATAAAAAAGTTTAACTAATAAATTGAAAACTTAATTAAATTTTAAATTCCTAATAAATTTGATTATTTTCAATTAAATTGCTATTAATTCTTTTTTTATCTTTCGGATACTCCGACTTTTTATATTATTGGATTGAGTCCTTATAGTTATTATCTTTTCTTTTATTTTCATTTCTTGCCTAAGGAAGGAAAATATGCGACAATATAATACTTATGTCACGTAGTTAAAAGTAAAAATTAAATGACGTATACTTTAAAGAAAAATGTAACAATTTTGTCCTATAGCCTAAAATTTTAAATTTTCAAAGACTTGAAAGTAATTAAGCTTAAATTAAAATATAAATAATTTATACATAATGTTCAAAATTAATTAACGTTTATTAATTAAATGAGTTAAACATTAAAAGAAAATCTATATTTAATCAAATTTAACTTTTCTAGGTAGAAAGCGTAGAGAAATTTTTGTTTTTGTTAGTTCTAAAATATTAACTAATTGGATTTTAACCATAGAGTTGCAGTTTAGAGAGAAAATTAAAGTATTGGTTTTTTTGAGAGAAAATTATACAGTGGAAAATGATTGCGAGATAAATTACTAGAAATAAAATATTTGTGTATTTCATAATAAAAGGAAAATAAAGAATATGCCAATTTTTTGGTTTTATATGATTTCTTTTTCATTTGATATGAATGAAAAAGAATACAGAATTCCTAACACTATTCTTCTTCCATTTATTTAAAATATATACAGGAATAGCGTTCAAATTGATATATATTATTTTATTAAAGTAACTTAATATTTTTTTAAAATTTATTATATAATATATTTTATTCCTTCAATTGAGAGTTAGACAGTTCATTCTTTAACCAACAAAACAGGTGAAACTTTTTATACATAACAAAACAGGTGAAATTTTTTATAAATTGGTGCCATGACAACAAAGTAAAATGAATTAATTTAAAAAAATTATTATAATTAAAGGCTTAATCAAGATTAGTTATATTTGCCATAGGCCAACAATAATAAAAAAACCGTTACAAAAATTACAAGTAGAGATTCAAGTATGATAATAAATTATTCATTAATCACACATTTATTATTTTTTTTTTCTTGAAGATGAATTAACATTAGTTTGGAAAGGTCTTTAAACTACTCTTCAATTAGTATTGACAAATTAGAATTGAACTTTAAGATAGAAAGTAAACAAAAACTCATTGAAAATAAGAAAATCGACTCCCATACTAAAAGAGTTATAATTTTACAATAGTAAATATTTATAATTATTTATCAAAATTAAATCTATTAGAAAAAATATATCTTAATTTAAAAAGTTGTTTCCATCATAAAAAATTAATTAGTAAATTAATGTGCAAATAATTTGAGATTAGACATTTATTTAATATATTTACTACTTTTTAAAATAATATTTTTTTTCTTGATTTCCATGCCATAATTTCTTTTATTTATTTTTCTTTGTAATCGAACACGATTCATTTTCATGACTTTATGCTTGACCTTTTGTGATATCATTATCATTATAATACTTTAAATAACAGATGCTACTTTCGAATATAGAATATGCTTAAGTTAAACGCCAAGATAATAAATGCTAAATGTTGTGTCCTTTTCATGAACCATCTTTTCTTTTTCTTTTCTATGGATTACTTTCATTTAACTGATGATAACATTCATGTAATTGTGTGATTACATTTATGTTGAGTTATTTGGTGAGACAGCTTATAAATTACTCATTTTCTAACCCCCTTTTCTCTTGTTTTAATAAAGCTTATTCGGTCAGACTGAGCTAATTCATTTCAGTTAAATGGACACTTTAATAAAAAATTCAAACCGGTTCAATTCCCTTTTTTGTGGGTCAAAATAAATTTAGTTGAATTAGTTAAACCGTTTCCCATGTTTATGCAAAACAAAGTTCGTCTTTTAATCTCCTACCACCCTGTTGGGAACAAAACTAAAAAAATACTATAATCTTGTTGGTAGGTATTTACAAAGAACCACGATTCATGAGTATTGTTGGTGTTCTTGTTGACTTAAAATTTGTGGATTTGGGATTTTGATTGAATGTTGTTGGTTGGAAAATCTAAGAAAGAAAGAAATTTTATTGATGGTGTTGTTTCATCTATTTCATTTTGCACTCTAAATTTTTTTAAAATTCAATTCAAAAAAACTCTATATTAAATTTTTTATATTTCATCAAATGTAGGATAACCGTTTGTCTGAAAGTTCAGTGTGTCGAACGTCCTCCTTGTTCCTCGCTCCAGATAATCGATCGGTGTAGGGGGTGACCTGCCAAACACACTCTGATGCTCAAGTCAGAATTTTTCTTTGTAAGCCTTTAGTAACTCAATAGTGGGTAAAAGGTGAGTTACCTCGAAATTAAACCTTTATTTATAAAGTTGATAAAAATCTGATCAATTAATTTAATATCTGTCTTAACCAGCCATCAATAATCGTTACCGTATTGATTGCACTTTAACTGCGCATAATTGTTGGTTGGACCAAACAGCTGAGATTCCTACATGTTGACCGTTCGGTTCTTTTCAAGTCAGTAGATAATCGTACCTGATCGGTCAAGTCAAGTATAAGTCCATAGTAACATTATAAAAAAATTGTTTTTATTAAATTTCAAAATCTGACTGAGAGATTTTTTATTTCCTCTATCGAATTTTAAAATTCGATAAAGCCAAAAATCTTTATAGAGTTTTGAAATATGACGAAGAAAAATGTAGCTTCAAAAACTATTTTAAAAAATTGAAAGTTAATTAGAGATGCAAAGTGAAACAGTATTTATTAATAGCATATAGAAGCACTAATAATGAGGCAATATAATATTGACACCCTAGGTGGTGGTTGAATGACCAATATGCATTGTAAAAGTTATTGCCTACACCGATAGCCACGTCCATGTCTTTTAAAACTAAGTATACTCCTACCACGGAATTAGATGCTAATCAATATATCTTCCCTCACCAAACTATCCATTACTTCCATGGTTAAGATTAAAAGTTGATTAATTCTCTATGTACCCAAAAGGAACAAACATTATTAATATCTCAAAAACGTGAAGATAACCATTCTAGAGCCTTCTCTTTTCGTCACTTTACTGCTAACCAAAATAACCTACATCATCCAAAATCCAAAATATTAAACAAAATTTAGTCTTTTCACTTTTAAATCTAACTTTTTCGCATTTTCTACTTTTTAGTTACTTTTCACTTTTACAGAAGAAGATGTAAGTGGAGAGAAGTTGATATTCAAGAGAAAGGAAAGGTGTCTTCTTCTCCCTAACAAGTTGAAATTAAACAATTGTGAGTGAGATGGGCAAAGAAGAATATTATATTTTTTAAGGGAAAAATAATAATATTTTATTCAAGGGAAACATGCATTTCCAAAACGAGCAGAAATAATACCTAACCCAATCTTTTATTTGCCCCCCACTCATTTTCAATCTTATTTTAAATTTACGATTTAATCTTTGATTAAAAGAAGAAAGAGTTGCGGGAAGTAGTAAAATAAAGTGTTAAAAAATCAGGTTTCACAATCATAAAATTTAAATGGAGATTATTAAAAAAAATCTATTTGCTGACTAAATTTCATTTATTTTTTGTCTAAGACCGTAAAATTCTCAGAAAATTAGTAATCTATATATAGCAACTAACCAAGAGTAATGTTTGATATACGCGGAATCATATTTATACCTAAAATGAAATAAAAGACGCAGCTTGCAATCGGCATGGCCATGTGCCATTTTTTTGTTTTAGAAAGCGAGCCTTTTGAAGCTGTTAGGTTACGATATTTCGGCCATCCTCGCTTTTCATATGCTTAATTGGTAGGTACACTGCACTCATTTTGAAGACTCGTTGTTCTTCGCAATTCCACAATTTAATGCACAACAAGAACCTAATCTCTAGGGGCAGCAAAGTTCCAACAGATTTCTGACTAAATCCAAACTCTTGCACCAGTTAACACTGATCTGAAGATTTAAAAAAAATCATGTAATGATCATCATCATACAGTAATGTCGAAAGCTCAACTCAAGGAACAATGAAAACAGAACAATCGATGTCTACAATGGAGTTTGAAAAGATGTAGTAGAAGATGAGACATATATATCCCTGACGCAAGAAATCTGAAATCAAAACCCAGAATTTTTCAGATGAAACTATGCAATCTCAACTGGGTACTTATGAATGCAATCTTCCCAGGGACTCTTGGGTGAGGGATTCACGTATCTGAGAGCTTCCCACACCGCACTGTTACACTTGAATCCACTCCCAAACGCAATCTGCCACACTCTGTTACCCTTTCTCATCCGCCCCTTCGCCTCCGTGTAAGCCAGCTCGTACCAAATCGAACTCGACGAGGTGTTCCCGAATCTGTGCAGCGTCATCCTCGAAGCCTCCACGTGCAGAGGCAGAAGCTGCAGATTCTTCTCCAACTCATCGATAACGGCCCTCCCACCAGCGTGAATGCAGAAATGGTCAAACGCGAGCTTGAAATCAGGGATGTAAGGCTTCATCTTCGCATTGAAAAGCTTTTTCACAACGAGTGTGAGAAAGAAAAGAAGTTGCTCACTTATAGGCAACACGAGGGGACCCAAAGTGGTTATGTTAGTCTTAAGAGCCCCACCGGCAATTGCCATGAGATCCTTCGACAAAGACACGCCGGTTTTTCCGGCATCGTCTTGCTCCTGGTACACGCACCGAAAGGCCTTGTCATCCGCCCCTTTGTGAGTCCTCACCACGTGCAAAAGCTTGTATTTGGCTCGCCTTTTATCGGAGCTTTTGTTGGAGAGGAGAATGGCGGCCCCACCAACGCGGAAGAGGCAATTGGGTATCAACATGGCCTTGTTGTTCCCGAAATACCAATTCTGAGTGATGTTCTCGGTGCTGACGACGACGGCATAAGTATTGCGGTGAACCTGAAGCATGTCTTTGGCAAGATCGATGGCGATGACGCCGGCGCTGCAGCCCATGCCGCCAAGGTTGAAGCTTTTGACATTGCCACGGAGCTTGTACTTGTTGACGATCATGGCGGAAAGGGAGGGCGTGGGGTTGAAGAGGCTGCAATTGACGACGAGGATTCCGATGTCCTTGGGCTTGACGCGGGTGTTGGCGAAGAGGTTGTCGAGGGCGCCGAACATAACCTGCTCGGCCTCTTCCCTGGCGGCGGCCATGGAGGGGCGGGGGGGGATGGAGTGCATGGCCTCGGGGAGGTAGGTTTCCTCACCGAGACCAGAGCGGAGGAGAATCTTGCGCTGGAAATCGAGGGAGGAGGGGAGAAAGTCGCCGGTGAGGGTGGAGTGGTGGATGAACTTTTGGAAGTGAACGGTGAGGTGATTTGGGGGACGGTAGCAGGAGAAGTCGAGGAGGTAGATGGAGGTGGGGCGGGTCATGATGTAGAGGGTGGATCCCAAGGCGAGGATGGCGGAAATAGCGATGACGCTGAGGAGGTTGTACTGGAGGTGGGCCCAGAGCTCCTGAATGTCCTGCGCCTTCATCTGAGAGGCTTGTATGAGGATTACGGACATCAGAGGGAGCAGGCACAGGGTCACCAGGTGTGACATCAGGTAGTGGTACCCCAGTTTCACATACTTCAGCTTCACGCTCTGCGAAAAATCCGGTAACCTCTTTTTCGACTCCTTCGAGGTTGAGCTCGAGGTTGTCTCCTTCGTGTCCGTCTTCGTGTTGGAACTCATAATGGATCTGACCTGATCTGAAATCCGGTTCCTATGAGAGAGAGAGAGAGATTGAATGGGTGAATGAAGTAAAAGGAGAATGATATATATGTAGCGAGTACGAAAGAGATTGGTGGGGTGAGGGTCAAAGGGAGAGAAGCGCCGAGCGCTGGCTTCAATCTCACTCCTTTCGCCCTCCCTCTCTTCACTCTCTCTCTCTCTCTTCTTGACTTTCTGTCTGCAACTCTGTTTTCGGATTAATTAGGTGTTTCTGTTTCTGTCTTTTTCATCCCTTTCTCCCTCAACATTTCTTCCTCCACAACCACATCATCTGTCCAGATTTTTTTAATTACGTTAATAAATTAAACTGCTTTTTATTTACACAAATAATACTCCTTTACAAATAACCCAAATTACATACTTTACAGACAAACTTGTGTGTCAGAATATTCACAACCACAAAAACATTTTTTTTTATAAATAGAAATTCAATTTTACGTGGCCACAAATTTATCTATAAAATATTTCTTATAAATTAAAATTAACTAACTCGTAGTAAGTTGATTTTAATTTACGACTTGTGCTATAAGTTCCTTTGGCATAGCTTATGTTTATAGTATTTCTCGTTGAAATTCATAACCACGATGAGTTTGCTCAAATGTTTATATTATTGTCTATTTACCATGTCTGTTTATCTTCTTAATTTGTTTCTTTTTTAAATAATGTTTTGTAACATGGTCCAACATTCAGTTAAAATTAATTAAATTTAAAAGTTTTTTCCACGATTAAATATGGAATATTTAAAAGATATTATATTTTTTACTTGTTTTAGTTATAATGTTTTGCTAGAAAGTGAAAAAGAAGGAAATGGAGGTTTTTGTAAAATAATATTTATAACACCCACATAGGAGATTTGATAAAACATAGAACTGAATGATGTTAAATTTAGGAAGAGAATGCTATTAAATACATGAAGAATTATTAATTTGGTACTTTTAAGGTTCCTTCAATTTTATTCTTTTTCTCTTCCTCTCTCAATAATTCCCTTTCTTTTATCTTTCTAACCTTTTTCTTTTTTTATAATCCGATAGCACTTTGCAATACTTAAACAATTAAAAACTATTTTGATCAGATTAGAAGAAATAGAATAAATTTGTATTTACTCTAAAAAACTTTTATGATTTTATCATTAAATTTGATAAGATCATTTATTTATATGAAAATAATATATTTTATTCAACATAATGTTTATGTCAAAAAATAATGAATAAGAAAACCTACAATATATTATATAATGTGTTTCAGTTTATTTCATTTTTACATTAAGTATATAAACAAAAAGAAATGTGATATTCCATTAGAATACACAAATAAAAACGTTCAAACTAATAGTAATAGTGTTGTATATAAAGATTCAAATTATATCGGGACAAAAGATGTGTAACTTTGACATAAATAGATGCAAATGCTAAAAATACAAAATCGCAAATAACAACCTATAACTGCAAAAGAAATGTAATGAATTAAATGTTAGAACCATAAAGACAAATAAATAATGCTAAGAATGTAATTTTTGTTAAGTATTTATGTAATTCGCTATTTGAATAAATGAGAAAGAAAATGAGAAAAAAATATTCTTATGAGATCTCTGAACATCATAACTCCAGTTTCTAGACATTTCATTTTATCATTTGAGAAACGTTTTACATGGATGTATCCATGGTTAAGATAATTTTGTGTGAAAAAGTAGTAATCAAGTTCAAGTATATTTTGTATTGATGGTATAATAAAAAAAATTCAACGATATATTATGTAAATTTAGAAATTTGAATAATTACCCATTTTTAACATTTGTATAATTCCTTTCATATACCATGATTTTAAACTTATATTGATTTTTTTTTAAATTCTTATATTTCAAGTTGTATAAATTGGATGAGGCAAATTAATAGAGTATTTCATTTATTTAGTGAGTTTGAAGTTCTTTAAGGTAAAATGAGTTATTAGAATAAAATATTAAGAATTTTAAAAACATATTTCAAATAATTATAATAATAGAATTTAAAATTCATTTAAAAAAATTAAAATTTCACAACTTGTCCATCCTTCTTTATACACATTACATACACGTAGATATTAAAAGAAACTAAATTATTAAATATTATTTAAGCATTTAAATTTTGACTAATAATTTAAAAAAAAACTTTAAACTCATATTTTTAAATAAAAATTTATTTAAAAAAGATAAATTCTTTATTTAAATAAAAAATTAAAACACAATATATTTTAATTACTTTATCCATGTAAAAAAAAAGTCATAATGTGATTCCTTAATCCATTCATTTTCCACCTATATATTATGTAAAAGATAATATCCAAGAAAAACAAACAGTAATTTAATAAATAATAATTATAATTAGGAATGACAAAAAAAATTGCAGATACATGTATCTACAAATAAAATTCGCGACGAATAGTTATTACTCGCGGTTAACAATAGCGAGTATTTTAATACCCGCTTCTAAATGGGTCGGATGCTCACTACCCGCAAAAAAGTAATAAAAAAATATTAAATTTTATTTTTAAATTAATTTTAATTAAAAATAAAATTAATTTATATTTTATTAGTTAAATTTAATTAAAATTAAATTTTAATTTATATTTAATTTTCTTTATATTATAAATATTTTGTAATTTTATTAAAAAATGTATAAAATATATTTTTAAAATTTTTTTCGAGTATCCGCAGACACTTGTGTGTTTTAAAATACCTGCAGATATTTTCTAAGCGAGTACTCATGTGAGTAGCAGAAGGATAATGGGTCGAATTACGAATAAACACTATTTGTGTCTGACCCGACCTACTTTTATCCCTAATTATAATTAACATCCTTAAAATGTTGATTGAAAAAACTTTATTGCAAGTTATTTCAAGATTATTTAATGTTAATAGAAACAACTTTATTGCAATTTATATTATTATCTTAAAAATATTTTTAAATATTTAAAGTTAAAATAACTTTGAGATTTAATATTCATGAATTATAATAATCTTAAACTAAATTAAGATAGAAGGACAATTTTTTGAAGAAAAAAAAATCTTACTAATAAGATAATATTTTGGAAAATAATTAATTTTAAAATATTAATTCTTAATAAATAGTTTTTTATTTCTGAATTTTCTTCTTCTCTGTTAATCAGAGCAATAAACATAAATGATTGGATGATTGATATTGATTCGAGAATGAGTTATTATTAGCATAGCAGTAATGACGATTTTCGAGTCAAACCTTTCCAATCTTTTGACCAAAAGCTTTTATATTATGACATTCACACGTGAAAATGGCAGAGACTGTGACTGCCATGGTTAGCCCCACCACTATTCCTTAATATCTTATTCTTTATTATTTGTCCCAAAATTTAATTACATTTTTTATCATTTAACTTAAGTTTTATTTTATTTTTTATTTTTTATTTATTTACAACGCTTTTCTCATTCTACCACGTAAACTTAAAAAGTTACCTATATTTTAGCAATTTGTTAAATGAGAAGAAAAATAAATAGCATGATAAAAAAAATATGGACTAATTTTTTATTAATTAGCTATTGACTGTATGTTGATGTAATAAAATATTATGCAATCTGCACAAAGTTAACTATGTTCTTCTTTTTCTATTACCTAAATAAATAAATAAATTATTATTATTATTTAAATGAAAATATCTAACTTTTATATTTATTTTTAATATCACAGATAACCATGTCTATTCAAAACGTTGAAGTAGATTATTATATAATGTGGTTTAATAGAGATAGAATATCTATGAATAATCTTAGAATGATAATTACCAAAATCACAAAATGTTGAATAGAAATTCTCTCAACATGTTGAAGTAGACTATTTGATAATGTGGTTTAATAGAAATATAACATTTAAAGTCACTCTTAGAATGACAATTATGAAAATCATGATGTTAGTAAAAAAATATTACAAAATGAATTTATACATAACTTAATCTTTGGAATATAATTTCACCACATTTATATATTATAATATATTTAATATGGTATCTCTAATATATTTTCTCACGTAAAAGAAAAAATAAACTCAATATAATATTATAGATTTATGAAATATTATATATTTATGATTATTTAACACAATAATTCAAAAGAGCTTAAATTACTCTAATACTATTTTAATAAGTGAATGTATATTTAATTTATTTTTACAAAATTAATCTATAAAATAAAGATTGATCCTTATTTCTAATATTTGTAAAATTAATATAATTCCATTTGACATCATCGAGAGAGTTGTATGATGATGTTGATGTGAGTTATTGATATTGTGATTGTTTCTAATTTCTCAAAATTGATTAAGATTTAGATTAGAGGTTTTATTAAGGTTGACGCGGCTCCAAAAGAATTTATTTCTATTGTGTTTAAAGAACACAAATGCGAAATATGTATATTAGATTACTTTAGAACGCATATTATATTAGTTTCGTAACTTATCCAATATATGCTGATGTATATTGAAGACATGTTAAATCAGTTTTGGAAAAGCTGATCTAATACTTTCAACTGAAAAAAAAAAAAAACCATTTTCAAAAGTGATTTCTACCCACTAGCTACATAGTTGAGAATATATTACAATTATTTGCAATAACTAATAACGAGTCGGGTCAGATACAGATAATGCTTACTTGTAACCCAATTTAGAAAAATAAATATTTGATCTGCAACCTTTCCGCTACCCGTATGGGTTTTTGCATAAAAAATACATGCGAGCATTTTAAAACTGTAGATACCCGCAAAAAATTAAAAAAATATATTTTATATATTTTTTAAATAAAATTAATATATATATATAATATAAAGTAAATTAAATATAACTTAAAATTTAATTTTTATTAAATTTAACCTAATAAAATAAAAATTAATTTAATTTTTAATTAAATTTAATTTAAAAAATAAAATTTAATATTTTTTATTATTTTTTGTGGGTAACAGGTATCTGCGTGACGGATAGTTTAATACTCATACTCGACCCGTTTAGAAGCGAATATTAAAATACCTGCTACCCATTACCCACGGGTAATAAATATTCGCAGGTACTGACTACCCCGCGGATTTTTTTGTCATCCCTAACAAAGACAGACAATGTCGCATCGTCGGTTTGTTGCATTCTGGATCCAGGTTTGTCGCTGACAAGGTGATGTTTGAATGGTGCTACAAGGGCTCGTTGCATATTTGGTTCGTA